GGCAGCAGCGGCGGGCGCCTTGAAATTGCTCGGGCCTGTGTGAAACCTGCCACCCCAGAAACCTGCAGTGTCTTGTGTCCGGACCTCTAGGCCCTGTCCGGTGGGGTGAAATGACACTGAAAAATCACCCCATTGTTTTTTGAGGGCGGCCAGGACCCGATAAACGTCCTGGGCCGCCCCCTTTTTTGTTTTTGATTTTCTCCCCAGGGGCCTCCATCCGGACATCAGGACCAGACACCGACACCGGACACCGGACTGTCTGGAACCCGGTCCGGACGTCCGGACAGTTCCGCTGACCTGGTTGTGTGCTCAACTCCTTTAACCACCCTTGAAACTGGTCTGAAAAGGTTTTGGCAGAGAGGCAGGCTCGAGAATATGTGAAAACGCATGTTTCCCAGGTGAAATGTATGGCTGCTCAAAACTTAATGAGCAGGTCCATGTGGCCTTCTTCTAGTAGGCCTGAGGGACATCCCCAGGGTTCGAGCCAGAACTTTTCATCCTGCCATTGTGGTGCCCCCTTGCAATCTGACTGCAGTATGCCTGCTGCTGAGGACTGATGCACACCCCAATCTACAGTAGGAATGCCTCCTACCTCCCGGATTCCAAGAACAATGCCAACCATTGTGTCAAACAGCGTTTATCATGCCCTCTGGCAGTCAGCTTGCAGAACTTACTTGGCAATCTGGTCTATCTTTTCCATAGTTTTCGTTGGTGCCATGTTCTGAAGGGAGACCGATGATGTTTGTGGTTGGGCATCCGACACACACACATAGTATCGCGCCTGGCGTCTCGCGAGGATCTTGTGGGCTTTGGGATAATGGTACTGTATACACTCCAGAGGCTAGATTGCAGATGGAGGATGTCTAGCCATGGAGTGATAGAGATGGTGATGACATGAGTGGGTCGTTTTGGAGGAATAGCAGTGCTGTGGGCCGACTCGGAGGGCTCTCCAAATTTTTTCGGTACTATTGGTGGGTCTGGTCGGTGCTTTCTTGCTGGTGGAGCCTTCTGTGTTAGGTATGTTGCCTTTGCCCTTCAACTTTTTTATAGATTGAAGAACTCTATATATCTGCGCATGCAAGGAATATGAGCAAGAACGATATACAGAAAAACCGAGTTGAAAAATCATGCGGAAGTCCAGATAGTCATGTACCAAGCAGAGATGTTACGGACTCCGCCAGGGCTCGATCCCTGGTCTACCTTTTGCTGTTTCAGCTGCATCCCGTTTTCGGCCTGGCACCCTTTTTCCAAACCCCTCCTTTGGTACCGTAGGATTTTGGACAACTGGCGCCATGCTGCAATTCGGGCGCCACTTTCAAGCACTGCATTTTTCAGTTCTGCCCTCGGGGCCTTTGCAGAAATGCCCTTGGTACCGTACGTGTCACCGGTAATTATGTCGGCTCCCCGTACGGTACGGGGACGAGTCTCGTACCAGTTCTTTGCTGCTGTACTCG